CTCCTCAAGCTCCTCGTCTGGTACCTTCCAAAGTCAAGGGCCCCCCAAGCTCCACCGCCTGCCCCCACAAGGGCAACGAAGAAGGCGAAAGTTGACGCCACCAAAAATAAGGACCCAGGGTACGATTGCACGCAAGAGGAGCTTGACGCTTATGTGGCATCAGAAGTCAGGAGACAATTGAAGCCTCGAAGTCCAGAAAAGAAGATTCCTATAGACCTGAGTGTTAGGAACTTCTTCAAGAGTATGTCTGCACCTGCCAAGGAGGCCATAAAGCTATCGGACTATGGGCGAACACTTAAGAAAGCATATTCTGCAAAGTCCAAACCAGTCCCTCAGCTTGGAGAGCAACCAAACCAGGAGGTCGAGCCGTTGGTGACCGGTGAAGAAATTGGAATAAAAGAATTTATTTCTGACACCGGGCTAACTACGGATCAATTGCTACGAGGCGCACCAATCCCAAAGGCGGAAGTGAAATACAAGTACGAACTCGGTAAACCGCTTGTCAAGCCTGAGCAACTGCAGTCCCTATAGACACAGATGTACAAATTCCATCAACTGTACATGGAAATGAGCGCCACCGGTAGAGAGATGATCAGAGCGAGGATCGACGTCTCTATTATGAGTTGTTGGATTTTGTAAGTATCGTTCAGTTAGATTTCTTATTACGTTTCCATTAATTAATTAGGTCCTTGTATATAAGTACACCATATATAATATATACTTCCTTTTATCGCTGTAGAATGGAGATTCAAAGGGCCCGACGGCGGGGGGTTTTCGATACTGGTTTCATCGACCCTCGGAAAATAAACATCGCAATGATCGACAAGTATCCGCAAGCCACAGAGGACAATCTCGTCCATCTCCTGAAGGCGCAACATTACAAGATGTTCATACTATTGCCGTACAACACACAATTAGTTTTTACTGTCTTCCTACCAAATTTCATTCCCGTACGTACATGCTAAGTGTTTCATATGTCATGCATCCGACGCACATTGCAGATTCCACGGGGTCCTTTTACTCTTCGACTTGGAGGCCTGCGTAGTCATTGTATATGACTCAATGGATAAAAAAGAGTCTACGTTTGACCAGGTTTTTAAACATATAGACAGGTAATGTCATAAGTTCCAATGTTATTTCTAATTTTGATATAATTAATTGCTACTACGAATCATAGCTTTAAACTCCACGTAGGGCTTGGTATCGGTTCCGTCATTTGGTCCGCGGCAATTGGAAAGAAAAACTTAGGCGGAAGTTTAAATTTCATGTGAGTACACATGCATTACATTTATATTGAATCTCCAATTCAAATACAAGCATATATTTATTAGATCTCTCACCGTTTGTCATGTATATATAGTGCGCAAAGCAAGACCAGGGAACTAACTTGTGCGGCTACTACGTGTGCGAGTATTGCCACTGCCTTGTAGACCAAATCATCACCACAAGAGAGCTCAATGTACGTACAAATAAATTCAAAATTTCATTGCGTACGTATCGATTTGTTGTTTACTAATTAATTTCATATATTCATAGGTTATTTGCATGAGGGATAACCTCACACACAAGGAATTTATCCCGGCGGTTCAAGAACAACTCATGTGATTCATCAACGAACAAGTCCTTGATCCCGAGGGTGAATTCTACTACGATGGAAATACAATTCATAGCTCATTAGCTTCTGAGATAACGACTACTACGTCGAAATCGTAGCTAGCTAGGACATAATGAATTGTAATTAATACATGTCTATTTTTCTATATGTACACATTTACTTTAGTGTAAATATATATTTTGGTCATATATATGCACATAAAATGTTAGTGCTTTAATATATATATATGCATTTGCATACATATATGTATAAATACATATATATTATGCATGTATATGTATTGAAACATATAATATATATATATATATATACATATATATAATATACATATATACTTGTATAATATAATATAATATATATATATATATATATATATATATATATATCATGCAGCAACAGGGCCATGCAAATAAAAAAAAAGGGCAGCTCGATCTTTAGTCCAGAACTACAGGGGGTTACGAACCGAGACTAATAAGGGTTTCTCCACCAGTGAATCGTGCTCGTGAACAGTCAACGACCGCTCGCCCATTAGCTTTCTCCTCCTCTCTGATTGCCTCGACTAGACTCTCACATCGCCGCCCTGGAGATATGCGTGTTGCACTGTGTTTTGCTCGCGTGATGTCGATTCGGGATGGCAGCTGTCACAGCCCTAGTGTATTTTTTTCTCTCAAGCTATTTGATGCTTTGACTTTCTTTCTAGGGTGCATGATTTTTTTTCTATTCATCAGTAGTGCATGCTGCATCAAATTGAACCAAAACTACACTTTAATCGGTATGTTGGGAAAACTGTTAAATGTGCACAAAATTTCATAGCAGTTTAGAGATGTTTTAATTTATTCAAACAAATTAATCAGGTTTGAACCCTGTAAGATTCAAACAAATCTCAGCCTGCGATGTATTTTATTATTATGTACTAAAAGTCCATTAAACTTCTTCAAAACACTCTCACGTCGCCACTTGGCGCTCTAATAAATTAGTGAAAGTACTCCTAGTAATTCTAAGCAAAAGGCAAAACATCAAGCCATTGATTTTTATTTAAACTAGTGAACACATAATTTTGCATCGTTAGATTAGATTAATCTCCGGGGCCCCTCTCCTACCAAAGCCCTCTCTAGGAACCTGCGGCACATAGCTGCCACCTCCTGTACGCCCCTATTTCTTTTTCTTTTCCTTTTTATTGGTTGTTAAGATATTTAATGGCCTATTTTATATAGAAACTTAAATAAATTCACACTTCTCTTTTTTTAACGTGAAGGATGAGATCGGACTATGCACCGCTTGCATCCATGCACTTGGCATGCATTTGTGGTTTATACTTTTTGAGTTGGTCCTTTTAAAAATAAATAAACAGTATTTTTAGTGGTTACAGCTTTTAAATTGTATATAACCAATTTGTGATCGATTTGAACCATTCGGTATTTCTTTACTTAAACGATTTCAGCTGCATTGAACTATATTTCAGAATACAAGACAAATATTACATGTTGGACCCAAGACCACTAAATTAAAGACAATCATTAAAAATTCTCAAACTTTTTTTTATGGAACTGATCTTTTGACGGAAAATCATGGGGCAAAACATGCAAATTTTCCACCGTTGGATATGCTTTAAGATGCATGCGTGGAAGTGAGAAAAAAATCAAATGGCGCATGGATACCAAGGATCGAACTGGCGATCGACGCACAAAACACTAGAGCATGTGTTCACTGCCAAGCTTTGTAACATTTTCTATTTTACATTACTCCCTCCAACTTTTTCTATTTTACAATACTCCCTCCATCTATTTTTGATAGACATATTTCTAAATCTAAAAAAATTTACTTTTGATAGGCATATTTCAATCCAACCACCTATCATCTTATTGACTTTCTCGGATTTAATGCGTGACTCTCTATTATTCCACACAATATTGGCTACATGGGCATCGAGGAATATAAATATTAATAAATCACTTGTTTACGAGGAATAACTAGTAGCATGTTTAAATGGTTGATAAGTATAATTACTTATCCTTGGTCGTTATGACAAGATGAAATATGACTATTAAAAGTAGATGAAGGGAGTAATAATTACATCTTTCTTGTACTGCAGTTGCATACGAGTTACAAATGTAATTACACTGCTATTTTACGATAATTACATTTGCCAGATTTTTAGGGGGATTTTCTACCGAATGTTAGATAGGCGGCGGTTGCGCGGCGTGGCGGCAGCTCTAGCAGCGGCGGCGTGCGGCCAGAGATTGGCTGCGGTGGCGGAGCTCGGGTGTGGCGGCGAGAGCGCGGTAAAGGGCACGGGAGAAGCGGGGCAAAAAAAGGAAATAGGTGGAGGAGGATGAGGGTAGCTTTATAGGGGTTTGGGAGGGGCGGACGTGGCAGGGAGGTGGCCGGATTCTTCGCCAACGACGTGGGGAGGTGGAGAGAGAGAGAGATGGGGGATTTCGAATCCCCGCCATTTGCGGGCGCGTGCACGTGCGGAGAGGCGGGGGAGTGGGCGGGTGACATGGGCACAGAGCGTGGGCGCACATGTGGAAGAAGGGGCGATCAACTCCGGTCAGACCGGCGGATCAACTCCGATCAAACCGATCGACATTGATTTGAGGGTAACTTTTAATTCCGCTATAAATTTGGTTTTTGGTACTATAACCATTCACCGCCTTTTTTTTGTTGGCTTAGTTATTGCTGTTTGATCCTACAAACACCTGGTGACAGCTTGCCCTCACAAAATACAAGATTTCGTGACCAGGTGACAGAAATTTGATGATTTGATGACTGAATGCTGTCACCAAATCTCTTTGTGACCGCCTTTGGGCTTTTGGTGATGGTGAGGGGTAGTCGCCAAAAAACCATTCTCTGGTAGTGAACGACGTACTATACTATACCTACCGTTTGATGTTTCAACGAGCACACTTTGATTTTTTTATGGGCGAACCGGCGAAGTCAAACGTGTGAACATGTGAGCTAGTCATCCCAGTATATGCATGATCACAAATTCAACTGCTGAGCAACCTCTACCACTTGGAAGGTAGAATTCAAAGTGTGAACAATTTCGTCGCATACAACGTCCACACCATATACAGACTACATCAATATTGTAGGAGATGAACAAATTTCGTCGCAATAAAACGTGGGAACATGTGACCTAGTCACCTAGAATTAATCCCAGTATATGCATGACCACAACTACTGAGCAACCTCTATCCACTTGGAAGGTAGAAGGTTCAGCGTTGTACTATGCTACACTTGTTATAGCTAGTTGCCAGTAGTATATTAATTATTGTATGAGTTGCTGATCGTGTAACTTCTGTAGTACGTTACGACTGTCATGGTGTATATATAAAGATCGAGAGGGGATAATTGTATTTCAACAAATACAACATACGACCCAGCGTGCATCCAAGTATGATCAGGGTGCTGATCCTCCTCACCCTAGGCTTCCTAGAAGCAATTGCTGAGAAACCAGCAGCACAGCAGCCGACGGAACTCCAAGGCTGCCCCGCCCCCGATATGTGCGGCAACATCACCATACCCCATCCCTTCGGCATCAAACCTGGCTGCTACCTCGCCGGCTTCGAGGTCATCTGCGACCGCACGTTCAACCCGCCGCGAGCCTTCCTCGCAGGCGACCCGCCATTGTTCGGCGACAAGTTGCCGCCGAACGTTAATAGCAGTAAACCATTCACGGTGACGGCCAATTTCTACTACTCTGGCACAGATGCAGGCATGCCCAGCGAAATGGTCAACTACACCCGAGGGCCTCTCGAGCTCCTCGACATCTCGGTTAATCAGAGCAAGCTACGTGTTTATGCAGCCATCAACTCCGACTGCAGCACGAATGAAACACACCATATCCTATTTGAGCAGTCAATCAAGCTTCAGCCGTCAGGTCCATTCACCCTGTCGGCAAATGATAATTCCCTAGTTGGCGTCGGCCAAAACGTCATCGCGATGTTCGCGGATTCATACGCCGGAGAAGAATACTCGACGATTTGCCTGTCTTTCCTCAGTTCAGTGTCCAAGGCGAGGAATGGACCGTGCGAGAATGCCACGGGGCTTGGCTGCTGCCAGCAGACACTGCCTCCTGGCGTCAACACGACTCTTGTGAGATTCCAGCACAGGAACAACAGCAAGTGGAGAACCTATCCATGCTCATATGCCATGCTGGTGGAGAAGTCATGGTACAATTTCTCTACAGAAGATCTGTTTGAGTACCCTGCTTTTCCCAACAAGTACCCCAGGGGTGTACTACCGGACAAGTATCCTACGGGTGTACCCCTTGTGCTTGACTTTGCTATCAGGAATGGGTCCTGCCCACAGGAAAATCGTGGCCCACCTGGAAAAGACTATGCTTGTGTCAGCGGCAACAGCTCTTGCCTCGATGCAGGAAAGGGCCGAGGATATAAATGCGAGTGCAAAGAGGGCTACAATGGTAATCCTTATATGCCTAATGGATGCCAAGGTATGCATACGACACTACTTCTCTCTCCATCTTACAATAGCTATTGTTTTAGGTTATTTAGCACAGAGTAGTATTTGATTAAAAAATGACTAATACCTCTTATTAGATGATGTATGGTTATAACTGGGTAAGTGGTTAAGGCTAGAACTTGAAGAGATTTAAATGAGAGGTGATTGATGGGTTAAGTAATACACTATTATGATAATTATCTTAGGATAAATTTTAAATCCATATAATTATTTTGGGAAGGAGACAGTAGTAAACATGACAGCTAGCTCATCACATGCACAGTTAATTTTAAATAATTTTGCTATCTATTTATCGACATAAATTCAGAAATAATTTAGCGGATTTTTGACCGCTAATTAGATTTTCTTCAAGATTCATGCAACAGGCACTCCTACTGAACCCCCTACAGGTGACGGCTCATAGGTGTCGGTTCAATTGGAACTAGCTTGCACAAAAAACCATCACCTATAGTTTAGTTGTTGGTTCTTAACCTAAAACCGGCACATATAGTTAGGAATAGCTGTCAGTTATTTAGGCACCTATACGGAGGAAAGTATAGGTACTGATTCCAGCTCCAAAATCAGACCTATAATATATTATAGGTATTAGGTTTTTCTAAGAAATGGGTAACCATACAAAACCATCCAAGCTGAATAACCGATACCCATCCATCATTATATTCCACACCACCGCACGCCACACCGTATCCATCCATCCTCATCCCCACACCACACAGGCTCCTTGCCTCCATCGCATGCTTCTCGCCCACCTGCGTGCTTCCCCCATCCACCTCCCCGTCTGCTAGCTAGTCTACCTCCTCATCGATCCCCCTCCCCTGATGCGTTGGTCTACGCAGGCCGCTGTGGCCACACAGCGGTCTACCTCCTGTGGCCGCTGCTAGCCACGGCGACGGTGGTAGCTGGGTAGCCCTTCCGCATGAAGCAGCGGTGTGATGAGGAGCAGTGCCTCAAGGTGGCGCGCGGGCATGTGAAGTGCTTCGATGAGGACCCGCGTCACCGTCTACGATGTCTCCGAGCTCGATGTTTGCACCTGTCCTCGTCCTCCCCTTCCGGTCACCATGCTCCCCTCTACCACCATCTCATTGGCGCCCACGCAGAGGACTGAGGCAAAATGGGAGCACGAGATGGAGATGGAGGCAGTGGTGGTGGCTAGAAGCGACGCGTAGGGCCAACAGCAGCACTGCTGTTGGTGGCAGTATGGCTGTGGGCCGTCTCCTTCCTCGATCTCGCTCCCCTTGTGCCCCCGCCCCTGCTCTATCTGCGTTCACGGTCACGTTCTTCGAGATCACTAGGAGGGCTGCCATGTCGGGGCGGGAAGCGGTCGTCCTCGAAAGAGGCACAGTGATGAGTTGTGCAAGAACGCTGGCGTCATCATCCCGTGACAACTCTGTCGGTGGTCCAGGTACGCCGACTGCTCTGCGCGTCTCGACTCACTCTCCCCCCTCCTCTCTGTCCTCCCCCTCCTCTGGGCAGCGGTAGCGTCTTCCTACTAGAGCTCCACCTGACAGCAGTGGCACCTCCCCTAGCCCATATTTTTTTATAATTCTGAAGATTATTGGTGTTGGTTATATATATTGAACTGCCACATGGAATCTCTATAGGTGCTGGTTCTACAAACGACACCTATGCGGTTGGGTAAAGGTGCCGGCAAAGTGATGCCGGCTGGGAAACCGACACCTATAGTAAGGGGAGCCCGATTACAAGCGAATTATACAATAGTTAAATGCGAGTTAATTATAATGAAGTACACTTATAATTATACTGTATTTGTATTGAGAGACAATTTGTGGATAAATGGATGGATGGCTCTTTTCAGCCTCCGGACTATGGGCATTTGGCCTAACTGTTTGTATAGAGTATAGATATATAGTCCCTAGTTTAATACGAAGAGTACATAGCTTATAACTTAAACAATCTCGATCATAAATATATATATGATTGGAACTAATCCTACCATACCATAACAACTGGATTAGTAACGTTGGATGCTCACATGCTATAACAAATAACGACGGTCCTTTGTACCGTAACATATTCTCTTCTATGTACACAAGCTTTCTATGCACACTGGTGCACATCAACTAGCAAATGTTACGAAAAATTCTAAAACAAATTAAACATTTATTCTTAATATATTATACATATATGCAAAGTCTTGTATTCAAATTTATTATAATTTAGCCGTAACAAAAAAAGTGAAAAATCTGACAGTTTTGAGGGTAAAAATAATCTGCCAGAATTTTATCTTTTTAAGGCTAAAATATAATGAATTTGAAGATGAGAATTCACACGTAGGTGTAGAACTATTAGAAATATGTGTCCAATTTTTTTAGAATTTTCTGTGACATTTGCTAGTTGGTGTACACTTTATATACACGGGAAGCATACGTGCATACGATATGTTCCCAATGAAGTAGGAGGAGTACCAAACTCTACACGTTAATGTTTTTGATGTTTTTGAACTATCATGTATGGGCTTAGGCTGAGTTCTAAATTCTAAACGTTAATTGGCAACTTTCTTGTTTTCCATTACCACATTTTCCACATAAAAGTTTTATTAGAAAATTCGAATAAATTAGTTAATTTATGATACGCTAATTAGCCAAGCCATTGTACGTGCCGCTAATAAGCTCAACCAAATCTCAGTATACAACTACACAAAAACTCATTGGTACCGGTTCCAAAGACCTTATAGGTGCCGGTTTTGGGCCCAGCACCAATTGGTCGACACATATTCCTAAAATTATAGGTGCCGGTAAATCACTAATAACCGGCACCTATGAGACATATGCGAAACAAAAAAATGCCCGCCGGCCGCCACCTCGCTTTCCACCACCCTAGCAATCACCAGAATATGAGAAAACAAAGTCAAAATCAAACCAAAAGGGGATGAAGAGGAAGAGGAGGAGAAGGAGAAGCGGGAAAGGAAATGTACCGCCTTCCTCACCACCGACGGCCATACTGGCTGCTGTCTTTGTTGACAGCGACCAAACCGTCGACCTCGTCCACCCCTCCCTCGGAGTCCGCAAACTGCACGCTGTTGTCGCCGACCGGGTGAGCCTTGTACCACAGCAGATCTTGGCCTCGCTCGCGCGCCCCCGCCGCGCGCGCCGCGTCCCCCACAACGAGGGGACTGACCTCACCGCCACCATCGCGCGCGAGGGCTTCGACAGCTACGTCCTCGCCGTCCTCCGCCGCTCCCACCGCGAGTGCCGCGGTGGCCGCTCCCGCCCCGGGAAGAAGGCGGTGGCTGCGACAGCGGGGGACCGAGCCCGGCATCCTGAAGCGCCTCCCCCCGATGGATCTGGCCTCCCTGGCCTCGACCCCCTCGCAGGCGGCGGTGCGAGCTAGATAAGTGAACGTGAGTGGACACGAGGGATGGATAAGGTTGAGGCGTGACGAGGAGATAAGGCTGAGGATGCGAGGTGGCAACGTGCGCTGTGCGGCTCGGCTCCGGCCAGTTTTTTTATAGGTGCCTTTTTTCGAAGGAACCGACAACTATGGCTACTATTATAAAAATTAAAATTAAAGATGTTTTTCTGATACTTTGTTATGTCATTCTTATTTGAGTCGGTTTTTAAGTTTATTCAATTTCGGAAATACAGATGCATGTTTGAGTCAATTTTTAAGTTCGTTCGTTTTACGAAATACATAAGGAGTTGTATAAGAAATCTCTTTAAAAATACTCGCATGCTAATTTGAGTTGATCGGACTCCTAATTGCAGCTCTTGATTTTGTAAACAAAAATATACAAGCGAATTCCAGCAATCAATTTCACCTAAGCTAAACTGTAGCACAGTAATAACATTAAAATAGCCTTCACCCGTTGCAATGCACGAATATTTTTTTCTAGTATATAAAAAAACCAACATCTATAATATTAGTACCTTTTTTCACTAGAACCGACACTTATAATGTAAGTATAGGTGCTGGTTCTTTTAAAAAATCAGTACCTCTACTATTTGTACCTATAGTTCTTAAAGATGCCGGTTCTTATTTTTTTCATCGTGCGGAGGTAGAAATATGCCGATAGGTGTCGGTTTTAAATGAACCGGCACCTATAAGACTGGTGCCTACGAGGGTTTTGTAGTAGTGGTATCGAATGGGGTAGTGACAATAGCCTAGCCTACATTAAACAATATATTCGAAAACCAAAGAACTTATTATCCGGTTAATATTCCTTTTAAAAATATAAATTATCCTATGGATAACTCAGTGTATATTAACACGTATAATTCTTACTTTGCAGATATAGATGAGTGCGCTCTTCCGGGTATTATGAGCAATTGCTCCTTTAATAGCGTATGCGTAAACAGACCAGGAGGCTTTGATTGTCCATGCAAACGAGGAATGACGGGCGACGGCAAAAGAGGAACATGCACCGAGAATTTCCCACCAGCAGCAAAAGCCGCTGTCGGTAAGCTAGTCGGCACGCATTTAAATTTGGATTTAACTAATAATAAGTCATCAACTTGTTCTTTCATAGGCTAGAGTGTTGCATAATATTTGTTTGCTCTAATAATTCACAAAAAAAGTTGATACCAAATTCGGAAGATGATTGTTGTCAGTCTTTTTCTACATTTCAATCTTGAATTTCATAAGTTAAAATGTTCCCCAAGACCTAGTCATCTTAAAACAAGCTACCGGTGTTTCAGGAATATACAAGTGTCAACTCCTTCTGCAAACATGTTGGAATTTCTCCTCATAATATCATTTATGTCCTTTGTTATGAAATTTAAAATCTTACAGAGAAACATAATATATAAGTCATAATTTTATCCTCATGTGGATTCTGAAAAAAAGTTCAATCTAGCTAGAGATATTCATTTTGCTTTTATCTTGCATATATAGTATTATTGACGACTTGACTGGTATGTTAATTAAGGATTGCTGAACTGTCAAATAAAATTGTTTAATTACTAATGCTGACCTATTTTCCAATCTCACGTGCAGGCCTTTCTTCCTTCATTGTTTTCATCGTCCTAATTTTTATGGTGAAACAACACCTAAAACTTAAGAAGTTCTACGAACAAAATGGTGGTCCGGTATTGAAAGGTGTGAGAAATATAAAGATCTACACAAAGAAAGAACTGAAACAAATAACGAGTAACTATAGCAGCGACATTGGAGAAGGAGCCTCTGGTAAAGTTTATATGGGGACTCTTAAGGGCGGACAACAAGTGGCTATAAAGAAGTCCAAAAAAGTTGATGAAGAAAGAAAAAGTGAATTCACTCAAGAGGTCATACTCCAATCTGAAATGAAGCACAAGAATATAATCCAGCTCTTTGGTTGTTGCCTTGAAGTTGATGTTCCTATGTTAGTGTATGAGTTTACCGTGAAAGGAAGTTTACATGATGTCCTCTTCAAATGTGATGAGAATATGAAAGGGAATTTACATGACGTTCTACCCAAATACAATGATAACAAGAAAGGGAAAGGGAAAGGGAAAGGGAAAGTACACGACGCACTCGTTGAATGTGATGGTAACAAAAATGTGAGTTTGCATGATGTCCTCTTCAAATGCGGGGATAAAATTGCAATAGATACACTTCTGGAGATCGCTATTGGATCAGCTGAAGGACTAACTTATATGCATACAGCACGGGAGACTCCCATCCGTCATGGTGATCTCAAATCTGGTAATATACTTATAGACAATAATTTCGTCCCTAAAATTTCAGACTTTGGAACATCAAGATCACTGGTTGCAGGTCATAAATTTAGGCCTGATAAATTCATTCCTGCGGACATGAATTATATAGATCCAGTATATATGGAAGATGGAATGCTCACGGAGAAAAGTGACATCTATAGCTTTGGAATTGTTCTTATTGAACTTGTTACAAGGAAGCCCGCAAAATATGATGACGACAGGAGCTATGTTCGAAACTTCATTCAGGCCTACCTTGATAAAAGAGAAAGGGAAAAATGCCATAAAGAGATTACACCAGATGTGGAAATTAATATTCTTGAAATGGTTAGTGAAGTTGCTGTGGCATGTTTAGAACCTGTCCAGGATAAACGCCCTGATATGATAGAAGTAGAACGGCAGCTCCATCGAATTAGACACATTGCAGGCCAAAGGATAGAGGAAAAAAAAGAGGAATTTCAACGTGCATTCCCTAGAACGGGATCGGTTATCTCAAACGGGTTTAAAGCCTCGTCTCTTTCAGGTAGGGTCCCTGTCACTAAGCAAAGGTCACTAATGTGAGAACATATCTCAATCAGGCACAAGGCCGTCACGGATGAAAGTCATCTCAATCAAGCCAACAACAAAGCCCGTCACAGATAAGATTGACCAAGCAACCCGAGTCAAACCAGGCAAGGAAAGAGCCCGTCACGGATGACCAATCTTAATCGGGCACACTACTAAGCCCGTCACGGATGACTAGTCATCTCAATCGGGCATTAAGGGAAAGGCCGTCACCGACAGGTTGACCCACTTGTTGAGTCAAAATAGTCACGGGCCGGAGGAATTATCTCTATCGGGCTTATAGTAATAGCCCATCACAGATGACTATATCTCTATCGGTCTTTGTTGGAGCCTATCACAGATGGCTCTATCTCTTTTGGGCCTAGTTGAAATGCCCATCAGAGATGAGTATATCAGCAAAAAAAATAAAATTTGTTTTTTTTGCTAGACTCAGGCTTTTGCTAGTCATGCCTGCTGCAAAAATGATAGAAGCAATATGTATAGTCCCATTCCCAGCATCCATTCACATATTCCATCACAACATTGACATATTCCATAACACCATTCACATATTCACATATTTGCATCCCATTCACAAAATCAAACATATGCACATTCACATCCACAAACCCATTCACATATATATGTCATTCACATCCTATGTGCTCTACAAACCGCCGATATGCATCAAAACCTGCAAAACCGAGTTATAAATTTGAATAAGTTTATATGTAATTTTAAATGCAAAAATTTACATAACATCGTGGCAAATTGTATTAGAAAGAATATTTACATAAATCCAATGTTAGTCGCAAGCATTGTAAATGTTCAACCATTCAGAGACGAGCTAGCTAGACCTTAACTTTAAATATTCCTTGGGCTGACAAGATATCATCTAGTATGAATCGTGCTATTTCCTCTCTAATGATATCGATGTTGTTTTCCGGGATCCTTGAAAGTTTTTCCTGCATGTAAGGCGCCAAGTTAGTATATATACTTGGAAAGTTGTCGTCCTATGTCTATAGTAATCAATTGAAGCACACACCTCAAGGTCGAGCAATGTCACCTTGTCTGCGAAGCTCCTCATGTTATGGCTGTAACACCCCAGGTAACCATGTACCTAGAGTGCCACACCAAAATAAACTCAAACCACTAACTCCCAAAATTATTAGAAATTTCGGCAGAATCTTCCCTGTAAATACGAACATCAACGACAGGCAATTATAAGTTAAACTAATAACAATATCCTTCCCACAATACGATCCATCCTTATAATCCATGGGGAAGAAACTATTAGAAATCTAAAACATTATTACAAGACCGAACGATGATATAGTTTAAGTATCATTATGGACCTAGGCAATATAGTTTGATATTGTGCAGATAAATGTGTATATAAGGGTGCTACTTCCCGCCCATGCATGTCGGTCTCAATATGTACCTAAAACCAAATAAAACACAAGAGTGAGTTTAAAAATACTCAGCAAAGTACAATATGGAACTAGAAAACACATATACACATCATTGGCAATAAAGCATGAACACAAGGCTTTCTTTCTTTGATAGGAAACACATTTTCAAACACCAAGTCAAAGAAGATAGTAGTTCCCATCCCGGGCAGGCATGAATTGAAATAGTAGTTTCCATCCCGAACAATAGTGAATACATCCTAGCATTGCCGGCAAATCCGAGTAAGCGTGATCAGCGCTTACCCATAGAAACTTGAATAAAGATCCAAATTGCACTCCCATGACTACGCATGGTACTTGAATAATTGAAACCGGAATCAAAGAACCAAACTGAAACCATATTGCACAATTATTTAACCAGATCCAAAATACGGAATATTGAAATAAGAATAACATCGTAAACATAAGATGAACTCAAAATGTAAATAGCGTGAACAATAATCTGAACATAAGTAGTCACGTATAACATAGAAATATGTCGGAAATAAATAGATAGAGTAAATAATCCATGAATCACACAATTAGTTCGTCATACACTTGCCTCCAACGAAGAATCAGTATCATGCACGATCTGATGGGCCACCACCTAATCATAAACAAAACCTCAGCAAACACATTCAAACATGTGTATAAAACAATGAAAAAAGTGAACCTACTGCCCCATCCCATCAAAACGCAATAACAAGGAACGCCGCTTGGACTATACACAAGACTGCTGCTTCAAACCTTTATATCTTGAAATATGAAAAGTCTATGATTGAAAATATATACATTTTGAAATTCTACAGAACAGTAACTACAACTTTGATGTAGAAAGCATATTTTTATTCTACAATTTATATGGTCTAATTTGCGCTTGAAAGTACGCATCAGAATCTGTCTAGAATTTCAGACTGTCCACACTAAAACAACCATAACTGGAGTTCTACTCGCCCAATCAGGGTGTACTTTACCAATATGGAAAGCTAAGAAAAACCTCTACAACTTTGTCTATAGGCGGCCTGGCTGATTTCACTGTTTATCCCCTCCAAAAACAGTTTAATCTACTACTATCCAGATTATGACACAAAAACAACAGTCATACTAAAAAAAATTATATCTCCTAAACCACTTGATATAAAATCTCGCCCTTTGGTCAGAAGATAGATCCAAACATTATCTACAACTTTTATATGGACACTTTGATCAGAATAAATCATTTTGACCATGAAATTAATGGAAAACAGAGGCGCTATAAATCTGCCCACGCCCAGAACTACCAATCCGAATCACAACGTCCAAAACGCTTCTCTAACCCTCCTCAACCACGAATTAAACCACTAGAACCACCCTAGAACAACTCATACAATAAGGGGATAAGCCTCACCTTGGGTTCCTTTAGAGAACTTGTGAGGAGACAATAGGGGAGACTCCGGTGTAACCCCTCCTTGTACTCCTCTCCTCCTCCTTGTTCCGTTTTTCCACTTTACTTCTTGATCCAAGCTATGAAGATGGAGATCTAGGGAGAGCAATTTGCTCTAGAGGGGGAGAGATGCAAACACAGGAGGAGAGGAGGAAGGAGGCGCCGGCCAGGGAGAGGGGTGGCGGCACCACGAGGGGAGGTGGGATTTGATTCCCCTCTCTCTAGGTTTTAAGGGAGAACTAATGGGCTAGGTTTGTGGGCCTTCTCATGTTGGCCCACTTCTAAAGATATTTTTCTTTTATTTATTTTTGTTAACATCTTTATTTTAACAAGTCAACCCAAACTAAAAAAACCTAAATATTTTTTTAATATACGGGGTATTACATTGCTCCCCCCTTCAATCGAATTCGCCCACTGTAGAGCTTGAGAAACCGTAAGAAGGAAAGGAATACACAAAACATACATATAAAGTAGTTAGTACTCTCAAGCAATTTCGAGGAAATCTCCTATATTCGCAACACTGCTTGCTTCTAGGTATGGTAGATAATAATTAACTAGCATAAGAAAGTATGGTAGCCAACAATTCAAAAACAGCTAATAAACCAACTCAGACCTACTAGACAGGAATATTGGCTTGCCAAACAAGCGCAATGCACATACTAAAACACCCAATTGGGAGATATTCAAAAATCATTGGAACACATCGTGAAGAATCTTACTACAAAGCAATGGAACAATTTGTGAAAACAACCTTTACGCTCAAGGGAATCGGGAATACAACATAAGCTTTAACTTAAAATTTAAAGAAATAAACACTCACACCCATCACATCTTATTAGTATGTTGCTCCCCTTCAACAACTAAAAGTCTATCTTTGATTGCCAATTATTTAGAGGTAATAAACAATATCTAAGAAGTCAGTCTCAAGGACCATAGGCCACACCTGTTCCACCTAGAGGTAACTAGAACAAAAGCATTATCCTCAAAAACTGCTCTGAACATCAGTAGATCTTGAATTTTCTAAGAAACTCAAACATTCCAAAGTAAATGAATTAAATCCACTCAATAAAAAACAATTTGTTGGGTGCGTTTAATTGAAAAGAAATAATCGAATATGAAAGGTCAAGCAACAAAACAAACAACATAAAAAAATGAATATTTAGTCTCAAACGCGGTTTTCTTAAGAAATCTGAGATCAGGATAATGACTACCTATAATAATTTCAAGAATCACACGTAAAGACAATGGAAATATTTAGAACATGGACCGAGTATAAAACCACTTTTTGAAGAAAATGCGTAGAAGGAAGCATCCTCTTCAACTTGATTTTTTTTAAAAAAAAACGAAAAGGAAATTTTTTTTACCATAAACTCATGAACTGAAAATCAAAGTTTTGAAGTTTGTTTGTCACCTCAAACTGCGAATCCGGACGCTATTCTATTAAAAAATTCAAATAAAGATTAATAATCAAATAAGTGTGAACTTCAATCCAAGAATATCAATACTGCACACAGTTGTGAGCCATGTAATGAAAATAAATCACTTGGTAAAGAAATTCAGATTTAATACAAGTTCTCCATAACAAGATTTAAATTAGTATTTTCAAATAGTATTGTGCATATCAATAATTTATAATTTATCAGCACAAAACAATCAGACAACACTTATGTTTGAATAACCAAGCGAATGAAAGCAACAAAAGTGAAACTAAAATAAATATTTAGTGTTAATTCCTTTCTGAAAGTAAAAAACAAAATTAGAAATCAGGAGAATATTTGTCACCAAGTGATGATTGCAAAGTCAAATGTTTTCCTTTTGGAAGTATTTCAGAACGTGTACCACGAATGAGAAATTTTTTTTTTCATTTCCTCAACCATAGTCACATAACAGAATTCACAAAAAAGAAACTAATAAGCCATATCACCCTTGAATCTCAAGTCTGAAAAATAGTACATCCTCTTTTTTTTCTTACCTTTTTTCTTTGCTTTTCGGGTGAAGACATCACTACCTTGATGCGTCAGGCATAACACATAGACACATCACACCAGTGTAAGAAAAGAATAGAATGAGTAGATGTCATGGGGGCCAATCCATCCCGTACCCAAACTATTAACTCGGTACAGTGATAGATGTATCACGACCTAACACTCACACTCGGACAACCTCACTTGGCATTGGGAAAAAAAATAAAGAGTAAAAGTTCCCTCCTCTAACCACTTTGCATTGCCTATATGGAAGAAAATTTACCTATTCTTAAAGGATCATTAAGTCTTATAGCATACAACATTAATTACTTCTATAAAAGAGATTAACACAAGTTAGATGCAGAACATTAATTACACAATACGGATAGTCCGGTGAAGTTCGTGCAGAATTTCCTGGAGAAGGAAATAAAGATGCCCAGGAACCGTTATTGGAAGGCGCCGGTCAAATCAAGCACACCGGCCAAGAAGCTAGAGCAGTCGGCTGCGAGGAAGCCGTCCTCCGCACCAAAACCAAAGAAGGTGTGGAACGAAAAGCCAAAGACGCTCGCTGCATCACCTCCGGAGATGAGTAGAAATTCGCGAACTAAACTGGAAGGAGGTACGGTCTTGCACATCGGACCTAAAATGACGCGACCTTCGCCAACAGGTAAATTGGTATGTATCCTCGTATTTGTTTTTCAGCAATTTAAATTTTTGCATCAACACATGTTTGAATTTCAAAATTGCATTTAGGTTTGAGGAAATTCTTCAAATGAATTTTTCAGAGCAAATTGCCCACCAGGTGTATACTTAAATCAAGTGATTGAGATAGATCGGTCTCCATGCCGAGACAATATAA